CGAGTCTTTTGAGAAGTCTTTTACAATCTTTTAAAAACTTGTTTTAAGACTTGAGTACTTGAGTCTGAGAATGAGTAGAGTTGAGTTTCATTTTTCAAAATGAATATATGGGAACTAAGTATTCCCAAGAGTAAATGTGTTTACATTTAAAATGAGGGGAAACACCGATTTCCAAATGAGTTCATGAGGAGTTTTGAGTACTATCTCTTTTAAGAGAAACCTTTTGAGTAATAATCTCAAAGTTAAGGATGAGGAAATGTTTTTAAACATATGAGCTAAGTTATATTTTGGGAGTAGTATTGAGCACCAATATGGGGACGAGTTCAAATAACGCAAAGTCCTCATAAACCATGTAGCCAACGTGGGTAGAAATGGTCATACTTTTTAGATTATTGCTTATTGATTTTTAAGCATAGCTTAGTGGATTCACTTAGTTGAGGATTTCTATACCTCGGTAAGTTATAGGACAATTCTGACAGCGTGGGCGAGAAATTGTATCATCACATAGCTCATATTGATGGTTGTCGGTTAGAGAATCTCCCAAACAGAGTTATTTTGTAATTTTTACTTGCAATCTGAGTTATTATTGTATTTTTGAATACATTGAGTTGTTACCTAATATTTTAAATGCTTTATATAAACTGCATCTTTATTGTTGTTTTATACTGCTTTGAGTTGAGTATCCATGAGTTGAGGTTGAGTTGAGTTGAGTAGAGTCGAGGTGAGTATGTTTTTTCTTTCCAAGTTCAAGCTTTTATGATATGTTTAGTATTCCTTACATGCTCTTACATTCAATGTACTAATGCCATTTGACCTGCATCGTTTCATGATGCAGATACAGGAGATCAAGGTCATCAACATGCGATTTGTTGATACCAATTACAGTTCTAGAGTTGTTTGGGGATCCTTCTTTCTTTCAGAGGATCCCTTATTTATTTTCATCTATTTCACTTTTGATAGAATGATTGGAGGTCTGGACCCGACATCCCTCATAGTATTAGAGGCTTCATAGATAGATAGATAGTAATAGTTCATGAGTGTTTTCATTTCAGTTGTTAATGCTCTAAACTTGAGTTGCCCTTGAGGTCAGTTGAATGTTTCTTTAAGCATTTCTTAGTTCATCATTTGATATATTTGAGTTAAAGTTGTAATTTTAAAGTTATCTTATATATGTTGAGTAAGTCTTCCGCTGAGAGTTGAGCCAGACCAAGGGTTCGCTTGGGGCAAACAATGGTTCTCGAGTGCCAGTCGCGTCCAGGGTGTATGCTCGAGGCGTGACATATTTACAAGTGTGTTGTATTTTATTATGATTGTGATTGTGTTAGTGTGAAAATATTTTGGCTCGGGTATGATGTTTGGTACATGATATCTCTTGGTTGGCTTGGGTATCATGTGTGATACATGATATCTCTTGGTTAGCTTGAGTACACGTCTGATACAAAATATCTCTTGGTTGGCTCGGGTATCACGCCTCATATGAGATGTCTATATGGTTGGCTCGGGTACCACGCCTGGTACGAGATACTAATAGTTCGCTTGGGTACCACACTTGGTACGGGATACTAATAGTTGGCTGGGGTATTATCCTGGTACATGTTTGACTATTCTCTTGTATACTAGTTTCTTGAGTGAACCAAACTTGTTTGTGATCATGTTGGACATGCTTCATGTAATTGTTGAGTTAGAATTAGTGACTGAGAGTCTTGTTGTATTGCTAACTTGGTTAATCTATATGTTGTCTTGTCTTTACTATGTTTAGTTATGTGTTTATATTCATACCTTTGAAGCTGACCGATGATCCTTCCAGTACATTGTGGTTTGTGTACTGATATTGCACTTGCTCTTTTTTTATGGAGTACTGGACATATTCAGGCAATTTCTTCGCGACCTCAATTGTGATTCTAGGTTTATCTAAATCCAAGGGTGAGCAACTTCCACCCGTTGTCGTGGATTTGTTCGTATTTTCTTATTCCATATGTTTGGACTCAAACTCATTAGATTGATTTCTTGTAGGGTTCCGCCCCCCCCCTTATTCTAGACTATGTAGAGTTTTATTTGGTAAACAACTTATAGGTTCTAAGGTATTTTATGACTTGGTTGTTGCTTTATGAAAGTTGATTTTTAAAGGTTGAAAACTTCTTACTTCTGGTTTTTAGTAGACTGTGTTAGTAGTTATGTGATTCTTCCATCAGGGTCAGTGTGTGTGCCACTTACGGCGGGACGTGATCGTGACAAATAATTTTTTTACTTTTTTTTTACCATTTCAAAATATTAACTCAAAAGTTAATTGAAAGATAGACGGTAAGTTATTGATTCAAAATTTAATTTTTTGAAGATTGATACTGTGCAGTTTCCAATGCACTATTGTTAGCTCTAGTTCATTTTGTGATGAATTTAGGAATAGCTTGTCGAGTTTGATTAAGCTATGATTTTGTAGATTGTCACTGATGATTAATAAAATCGTGTTAGTTACCAAAAATAGATACTGCACAGGTACATGATAAAAAAGAGTAAAAAGTCTTTTAAAAAAAAATAAAATATATATATATATATATATATATATTTTATGGATAAAATAATATGTAACTATGATTGTGAATTTACTAAAATATTTGAAGCAAATATCTTAAATATTAATTATCTAAATCATGGTTAGATCATAGATATATACAAATTATGGTAAGTTGTAGTGGCTTTTATCTAGTTTTTTTTTTTGGCAAATAGCTTTTATCTAGTCATTGTTTATTGCATTAGAGCAAAAAAAAGGACAAAAGAAATAAATAAAGAAGCTACTTACACTTGGTGAGCAATCTAAAAGGTAGATTTTAGTGCAAAAAGATTGCCTCAAATGTTTGTTTACGGGCATAATACAATAATCTGTCCTTAACTTGGCTTCAGCTGACATTTTTGCCCTCCAACTTTTAGTGTGCACAAGTAGGCACTTAATTTGTATAAAATTGAACAAATAGACACATTCATCCTACGTGTCCTCCTACATGACAATTTTGTGTCTTATGTGGCGTTCTAAATGTATTATGCCACGTAAGACGTATGTGTTTACTTGTTCAATTTTATATAAGTTTAAGTGTCTATTTGTGCATACTCAAAGTTGGAGGGCATAGATATGTGTTAAAGCCAAGTTAAAGGGATTATTAAAGGATTTATATAATACTCCCTCCGTCCCATTTTATATGTCACCTTTTTACTTTGCACTTGCATTAAGAAATGATGTAACTTTACCCTTGTACCCTTATTTAATGTTTTCTTAAGTCAATTTTATAATAAATGATGAATAGATTTTTAAGATTAATTAACTACTCTATTAAGGGTATAATAGACAAATTATGGTAATTATGCATAAATTTTATAAAATGACAAGTATTATGGTCCAACTATTTATAGAAATGAATGACATATAAAATGGGATGGAGAGAGTAGTTAAGAAGTGTTCTCTTCATTATTATTTTTTTTGCTCATCTGTTTTAAGTTTGTGTTTCCCTTCTAGAAAACAATCTAAACCACCTTGCAATCAATTGTTATCATTTATGTTTTTGGGGAATTGAAATCAATGGAGGTAGAAAACAGTGAAAAGTTTAGAATTCTGGTTGTGGATGATGATATCAATTGTCTTCTCACTACTATTGCATCACTCAAGAATTCGAAATTTGAAGGTACTTATCTTTTTTCATTTTTCGTAGTTTGTGAATGTCACGATCTTAAATCTAGAGTTGCGATGACACCTATTTCATCCCAAAGTAGGGTATTTTTTCTATTCTTTTCTTGATCTAAGATTTATGTATGTCAAAACTGACATCAAATGAATTAAATTGATTTTTGACTTTATTTAAATACTACTATATAAAAATTCAAACAAGACAATTGTTCTTTCCTTTTCTATTTAATGAATTTTGACTGTACAAAATAATAAAGACACCACTATTTTATAATATATGTAGAACTAATTTTAACATAAAATCTATATAAAATAGACATTTAAGTAATGCAATATTGGGTTGGTCCTATTTTATAATATATGTATTAGGTTATGTTGGTATGTATGTATTGTTTTATGCGTAAAATAATGAGATGCGAAGAGAGTATAAGGTACCAATCCGGCGAAATCAATAACTTCTTTCCAAATTCATATTATTTATCTTAAATAATTTATTTTATATGTATAAATTATTATTTAAAACTCAATAATTCAAAGAAATTATAATGAAGAACTCATAAACTTTAAATTATGAATCCTCTTCTAATAAAATATCGAATAATGATACCACACCATGAGATTAGACTATTTAAGGTCAAAGATACCTTTAAAGTAAGAAATTCTTATATAACAATAATAACTCATTATTACTATTAATTACTTAGAGCATTAGTCAAAAGGAATACTACTAGTATAAACTGATTTAATAATCTGGGCATAATAATTTATAAAAAAAATCTATAAAATAACACATTTTATAACCTAGGTTACCTATATCCTTAATCAAGAAGCCGATTCAATCTAATAATTTAATGTAAGTACACTCATTTAGTTTAAGGAATTGATACTCTATTTATGGTAATAAAATCTTAATTAGCATATTTAAATATATATTCTCTCTGTTCCTTTTTATTTGACACAATTTTCTCTTTAAGAGTCAAACGATTTGAACATTGACTAACGTTATAAATGTAATTTCCCCCCCATCAAATTGATATAATAAAATTGTAATATATAGTAATTTTTGTATAGTTTATGAATATTTAAATTTTATTTTTAAATTATCAAAATAATGTAATTTAATTTAACTTTAAAAGTTAGTCAAATTGACTCTTGAAAAATTGCAATAAGACAACTAAAAGGAACTGAGGAAGTATATTTCACTTCATCTAATTAATTTCTTTAATTCTTCATCAAATGATTTTGGAAATATTTCTATATGTATTAGCATTAATTCTTTCTTTTTGTATGTTTATATAATAATAGAATTGCTTTGTTTAATTCAGTTATGACAGTGAATGACATAAAAGTTGCTTTGGGTGGCCTTCGGAGCAGTGGTCTCTCATTTGATCTTTTGCTCATAGATGTTCACATGCTTAAAATAGATGTCTTTCAATTTCAACAAGAAATAGCTAAAGAATTTGGCATTCCTGTTGGCGGTAAGTTTATAATTCTTTTATATTCTTTGTGAAACAAAAAATATGTTAAATTATAGATGTATATGAGTGAAAAAGTCGTTCTTTATTGATAACTCTCAACTCACAAAGATTCAAATACTCCCTCCGTCTCATTTTATGTGGCAATATTTGACCGGACACGAAATTTAAGAAATAAATGAAGACTTTGAAATATTTACCAAATTGCCCCTCCAAAAAGTAGTTGTATTAAAAAGTAGACTTATTTTTCTCTCTCCTCATAAATGTACTTGGAGTACTATCATTTAAGATTAAATGGGACCAACAAGAGTAAAAGAGGAATTGTAACTTTAAATACTTACCATATAAGGAAATGTGACATTCTTTTTGGGACTGACCAAAAAGGAAATGGTGCCACATAAAATGAGACGGATGGAGTAATATATTATATTATATATGAAATAACGACTAACCCTAATAATACTATGAATGATTTATGGAAAGAAATTAAAGATATGCGGAATAGGGATTAATCTAGAACTATCAAGCATCTAACTAAGAAATAGTTGAATACATTGTTGAGTTAACAATAATGATCACTTCTCAAGATAGCTAGCAAAAACGAGATAAGTCGAGTTATTAAGATACAAACAATTAACGTCATGAAAAATCAAAAGAGAACTTGACACTAAAAGGTTTTTTTTAGTAATGAAGGGCTATCCAAAATTCCCTTAAACAATAAACATTCTCAAATAACTTCATATAGAACTTCAAGTGTGTTATCACTTATGTTTGTGTATTTTTCAGAGAAGTTTTGGTTCTTTAAGTGTGTTAAAACTAAGGACTTTTAGTCTCTCATAAATATTTTACAAACTCTTGCTATTGGCTTTAATAGGAACTATGAGAATTTTTTTTTAATTAGAAATATCCCATCAAATTTCAAAATTACACGATACTAATTAAAAATGTACCAACAATATAAAACATTGTATGTCCAAATGAGAGTTTCCATTAAGCCTTTTATTTTTATACTTCTTGTTAAATCAATTCTAGAGTTTTTTTTTGTGGTCAAAATAGACTATTATATTAATACTAATATGCATCATTATAACAAAGTGGCAGTGCTAGACTGCTAGGAGGGTTTGGGGGAGGAGGTACAGTAGTACTAGTATAGAAACTTCATTAGTGGAGATGGAGGACATTCTAAGGTTGATAATATTTGAGGGAAAGTTGATGAATTTTAATGTATTTCTTATGAAGGACCATTCTATCATATCGAATGCCTTTTCCAGATCAATTTTAGCTAATAGTTGAGCATTTAAAATTTTCCTTTCACTTTCATGAAATGAGTGATTACTTCTTGGATGATGATGGCATTATCAGTTGCTTGCCCATTTTCCAAGAAATTAGGTTGACAAGGTCCTATTAGTTTATCCATGAAAGGTCTAAGTCTTTGGGAGATGATTTTCATAATGATCTTGTATGTGGTATTACAAAGACTAATGGGTAAATAATCTTTAAGGTTATTGACACTCTTTCTTTTTGGAACTAAACAAATGTGAGTTCTATTGATTTATTTAGGGATGTGGCCATTTTGAAAGGCATCCTTATAGAGATTAACAATTGAGTCTCCACTTTTATCTGTGACGTTTAAGATATCATTAAAGCCCCCACCTAAGAGCCAGTTTCCTTTGAAGTTATCTTTTGCCATAAGATTTTGCGTGAATCTCTAAACGTACTACAAATGACTCATGGCTCTTTAGATGTATTTATGCTAGTCTTAACCTTAGATGATATTGCCACAAAAGGTCTAAATTTTGCGTGAATCTCTAAAGTCGTCCCCATTGCACCCTCTACAATTTCATATTATTAAGTTCATGGATCTATTTATCGTGGGTAGTATTATCATTGGAGTCTCCCTCTTTTGGTTCCTAGGGTTCTCTGTTACCAAAGATGGATTCATTACTACCACATAGTTTCCTATCTCCTAGTTGCAGGGCACACAAATATCGATTGAGCTTTTTGATAGATTTGATGGCAGGGGTGGCTCGACAGTGTTAAAAAAAAGACATGTGCCTTAGGCCCCAAATTTAAGAGGCCTCATTTTTAATAATAATAGGTTATAAGTTATTTTTTTTTAACAAATATTGAATACTATTTGTAGAAAAAGTAAACTTTTCATGAAAAATGAAGGGATTATTGGAAGAGATTTGACATATTTGGAGTACTATATCTCATTAAAAATAATTTAAAATAAGAATGGTTATATCATCAGATGAAAACTAGAAGAAATCAATTATATAAAAGCTATTAACAATTTAAGTTTAAGGCCCCGTTTGATTTTTGCTTTAGGCCACTAATATGCTTGAGCCGCCCCTGTTTGATGGACAGATAAGTATGTGTTTTTCTTAAATTTCTCTTTGAATATTATTACCTTTATATATTTCAAGATTGCTATTTCGGTCCGAGTTTCCCTCATTAACTCTATTGCGTCCTCTATCTCCTAAAGATATACTTATTTCCCCCTAAATTTGGTACTAGCTGGTGATTAAGGGGGGGGGGGGGGTTCTGGGAGAACAAGTAACCTGTCAACATTTGTTTAGTTGCTGCTTGTTTATATTTGCAACCCCCATCCTTTTTGCTCTATTTTGCTCGAATTGTATGACTTAAATCTGTATCATTGAATGTGATTACCAGTTATGTCAAATGATGAGAAAGACAATACACTTATGAAAGGACATGACAATGGAGCTGCTTTCTTCATAATGAAGCCCATAACACAAGATAATATAAATTATTTATGGGAATACACAACATCCTTGCAAAAGAAGAAGCACACAAGCAAACAAGTTGTACAAGAGTTTGAAGAAAACACTAATGAGAAAATCCTCAATGAGGTAATTTATATTGAATCTTCGTCTTCAGTCAGTGAGAGGGACAAGTCTACGAGAAAATATGACAAGGCTGAAAATGAAGACGGTTCATCTCAACCATCCAAGAAGAGTAGAATCGTTTGGACGGATTCCCTTCACAACAAATTCTTGGAAGCTATTGCAATACTTGGCGTGAAAAGTAAGTCTTCCAAGACATAAATAACTGTATAATATGAGGTCATTCAAATATTATCTATACGTAAGACGTCATAAAATATGTGATTTGAAAAATAAGATCGATAAAATATGACCTACAATGACAGAGCCACCTTTCATCGATAAATTACATTATTTAGCTAGATTAAAATTTCAATTATATTTATATGTTGTAGGTACTTGACAGATACCTCTTATTTTTACGCATGTCCACTTTTGTTATTTTGACACTGTTTTATAATTTCTTATATTTATATAACGCAATCTCATTAGATGACTATATACGATCTTTCACCGAAAAATTACACTATTTAACTAGATTAAAATTTTAATTCATGTATATATTGTAGGTACTTGATTGAGTCCCCTTATTTTTTACAGATGTCTACTTTTGTATTTTTGACGCCCCTTAGTAAATTTTCTGCCTCCATCACTAATTGTATATATATTTCGATTGAGTAAAACAAGGAAATGAACATGATATTGGTGAAAAAATATAATTTATTGTTTTTTATATGTGATTTTTTTTTTTTTTTGCAGAAGCTTATCCGAGAAAAATTCTTGAACTCATGGATATTCCTGGATTGAGTAAAAAACACATTGCCAGTCATCTTCAGGTTTAATTAATTACCTTGATGTTTATATTTTCTATCAACCTCTTTTTCTTTTACTTTTTAAAAGTCACCATATTTATCATTTTAGTAATCTATACGATAAATTCACATATAGAAAAATAAATACTCCCTCTATCTCAATTTATGTGATTTACTTTCCTTTTTAGTCAGTCCCAAAAAGAATGACACATTTCTATATTAAGTAACAATTTAACTATAAAATGTGTATTTTATCCTTAATGAAATGATTTACAACCACACAAATTTCTATCATTCATTTTGGACCACAAGTTTTAAAAGTCTTCATTTCTTTCTTAAACTCCGTACCGAGTCAAACTACCTCACATAAAATGAGACAGAGGGAGTATTATTTTTGAGATGAAAAGAGAAAAATACGAAATACTAATTAAGAGTTAATAGTGGTTTATAATAATACTTATTTTATGTAAAGCTAGGTACTTAGCTAGCTATGATGTTGCAACCCTTGGAGAGGGAATTGGTAGTTATGCTAGAGAAGTTAGATAGTTGATGCAACTCTGGGGACTGTCCAGCTTGTTTTGTTTTTTTTTTCATGAATTGTATTTCCTACTTGGCAATAAAATCAATTTATGTACCAAAAAAAATAAAATAAGCGTAAGCATAATTAGAAAATTTCGTTTCATTTATAATAATCAAAATTACTCCATTTGTTACAACTGAAAAAAATTGAGAATAACTTTATAAACATATTTCAAAGTAGGTAATAAAAAAAGAATTAATAAAAATAGAGGTATATTTATAACAATTTTTAAAATGATTATCTATTTATAGAGTAAATAGATTTTAAATTATAATTAAGAAAATATTTTATCAATAACAATAAAAACTCATTTCTATATTAACAATAGAAAGTGAAACAAAAGTGAAACTTAATCTCATGTCCCGAGTCTACGTCCTGGACGTGGCCTACACTCAATACCATTGATGGTCCCAAGTGAATGTTAGGGGTAAAATAGATATGACTTGAAATAAGAGGGAAGGGTAGAGAAGGATGGTTAGAAAATGTCTATTGCTCAAAGTTGATGAGGAGTTCGATTTATTTTTTAATTTTTTTTTGAGTGAATAGTTCTCAACCTATCAAGATATTGTAACATTTCTTAAATGGAACTCAAGCATCCTTAAATGAGATATTTTCTTGAATAAAAGCCATCAAATTTGATAGTTGTTATATGAAAACATGCTCATGTTATAAACTCCTTGATAGAACAAATTTGAAAGTTAGATAAATCTAATGTGGAAATTTACTTAAAGCAATTGCATCATTATTTTTCTTTATTATTAGAACAAGGTAATCATACCCATGCTTGTACACTTTGCAGAACTATCGTATGAGCTTGAAAAAAGACGCTAGTCCAGAGTTGATTTTGAATTCGAATAAAATCACATATGAAAATGCTAATCAATTGTCTACAAGGAAAGCAACGTCTGATAATATTTCAACTTTAGCTCCACAACTTATGATAGAAAAATTCAACTTTGCGGGTCATGATACCGAGGCTGATCTTCGAGACTTCCAGTCTGATCATGAGAAAGATAGAGAGTTTACTAAAATATTCAGTCGACATCTTAATCAGAAGCCTTGTAATTTGGTACGTACTTCTATTTTTTATATTTGTTCTTATTTGTTTTCTAGTATATATTCTCTATGTTTAAAGAGTTGTAGTCTTTCTGACGTAAATATTTGATTATGGAGCTTTTTATAATTCCAGAAAAGTAGAATGAAAATTGTATATTATTAATGAGTCTCCAGTACTGTTTATCTACAAAGAAAAGTGAACAGATTGTGCTAAGCTAACTTCCTAGGAAATAGGAGCAGGTAATCTACGTCAATAGTAGTATATTACGTGAGTTATTCTAAAGTAACTGATAAAAGTTATATCATAACTTACAAATAAATAATGTAGAATTAATTAGTATTAAATCTTCATATAATTTTTTATATCTTACTTCATTATGTAGCAAGGAAATCATGAAGGTATTAATGCAGAGGAAATACCGTTGCATCTTGGTAATGTTCTTCCGAATTCAGAGTATGAGGTAATTTTTCATATATCTGTCTTATTTTCTGAAAAATTAATTTATACTTAAGTGAATTAAAAAAGTTTGTATACACTATCATTTTTCTCTTCATAATTTTGTTTTTTTGATTGATTTTTTCTCCCCCGGTTAGTTAATGGAGATGATTGCCTATTTTGAGGTGAAAGGGTTCCCAAATACTTATGCTGGTTAATATAATCTAATTGTTTCTTACATTTTTGTATAACACAAATGATCGACTTTGATATGAAAGGGTTAAATTTGTATTGTATAAAAAAAATTAAATAATGAAACTCAAAGCTACATCATAACTTGTGAATACATCATTAAAATAATTATCATTAAATATGCTTATAATTTTTTGTGTCTCAACTCATTATAGCAAGGTAATTATGGAGGTGTTATTATAGAGGAAACATCATTCCATCTCCAATATGATCCCCAAATAGTTATGTTATAACCACTTCCTCTCCCCCGGTTAATTAGTAGAGATGGTTGTACAGTTTGAAGTCAAAGGATTGCCAAATAGCTATGTTGGTTAATATTCAATTTAGTTGCTTGTCTTAATTTTTTGAAGGATACAAATAATTGACTTTGGATACATAAAAGGTGAAATTTGTGTCGTATATTTTCAAGGGTAAAAGATAATCTAGTAGAAAAACTCAAAATTATATAATAATTTGTGAATACAACATGATAATAGTAAAAACACTTGCAATTTTTGATGTATTATTTTAATGTATAGCAAGAAAATTTCAGATGTGCTATTACAAAGAAAAAAAATATTTTAATTCCATTATGATCCCCTATATTTAAAACTTGAGGTATTTATTCATATATTTATGTTTGGTCAACAAGTATTATATTATGAAAATATAATTTATAGAGTTAAACGAATTAAGAAAATACATACACACTAACATTTTTCTCGGGGTTTCCCAATAATTTGATTGGTTAATTTTTAATTGACTTGTTTTTTAGATTTTCGTAGAACACTGATGATTGACTTTTGTTATATGAAAGGTTAAATAAATATTGAATAATATAATTCAATATTGAATATCAAAACCATATCATTATTTGAGGATAAAAAATGTTAAAATAATTGTAATTAAATATGCTTAAAATTTCTAGTGTTTTATTTTATTGTAACAGCAAAGAAATTATGCAAGTATTACTGCAGAGGAAAGACCGTCGCATTTCAGTAATGCTTCTCCAAATTTTGCACCTGAGGTAGTTTTTCATATACCTATGTTCTGTCATAGAATATTACATTTTAAAATATACTTATATAATTAAGAAAAGTTGTACATAGTATTTTCTTTTCTTACTATTTGTCCTTTTTACCCACTTTTCCTCCACTAGTTGATTTGTGGAGATGAATGATTTGAAGTAAACGAGTTTACAAATAAGTTGGCTGATAAATTTTGATTAGGTTGTTTATAACTTTGTTAGAACACAAATGATTGACATTATATGAAAGGTTAATTTGTGTTGTTTAATGTATTTTAATAATAAAATTTAAAACTATATCAAAACTTGTGAATATATGAAAATAAATATTTTTACAGCTTGTGATGTCTTATTTTACTGTGTAGCAAAAAAATTATGAATATGTCATTGCAGAGGAAAAATCATTTCAACACCTTTATGTTCCTCAAAATTTTAAACTTGGGATAGTTTCCCATGTACCTATATTGAGTCATAGAGAATTGTAGCCTAAAAATATTGTTTACAAAGTTAAGCAAATTGAGAAATTTGTAGACACTATCATGTATCTCTACTCTTAGAATTATTTTTTTTATCGACTTTCCCTACCCAAAGTCTACCCTATTTTATTAGTAGAGATGGTGGTTTATTTCTAGATAAATCAGTTCACAATAAAGTAATTTCTTACATTTTGGTAGAACAAAAATGATCGAGCTTTGTTATATCAAAGTTTAAATGTGTGTTGTATAAAATAGTTCACTAATGAAACTCAAAATAATATTATAACTTTTGAATACTTATAAAAAATATTTTTTAGTAAATATGCTTATAATTTTTGGTGTCTTATTTCACTATATAGCAAGGAATCTATGGAGGTGTTACTGCAGAGGAGGCATTGTTCGAGCAACTTTATGTTCCCTCAAATTCAGATGGGGTAGTTTTTCATATACTCTACGTTTGGTCAATGAATAATATAATTACAAATAAAGCTAAGAGAATTGAGAAAGTTTATACACACTATCATTTTGCTATAAAAGATACTTAAATAATGAAATTCAAAACTATATTATTTTTCGCAAAAATACTTACAAATTATGATATTTTATTTCACTTTGCAGGTAGGAGATTATGGAAGTCTTACTGCAGAGGAATGTTCATTCATCGATAGTATTATCTTGAATCATGACCTCGAGGTAGTTTCTCATAAACATATGTTTGTTAAATCACAGAGCATTATGTTTTGAAAGTGCAATACCAAAGTTGAATGAATTACCAAGTTCGTATATACTATTATTTTTCTCTTAACTTCATATTCCTTTTAAAGAAATTTGTACCACCCATTTGATACAAGAACTTGGTTCTTGTTAGACTTTAACTGAAACATGTGTCACGAAAGAACACAAATGTTTATCGTTGTAAACCTCCTTGCTCAAGAAAATAAAAGGCATGACCTAGAACATGTAGAATTTTCAGCAAATTCTCACTAACTTTAAAGAGTGGTTTCAGCTTACAACTCAATAACGATTCCAAGTCACAAAAATGATAAACTTACATTAGAAAGAAAACCTAACTCTAGTTCTCCTTTCTTCTATTATTGTATGCTCCCTCTGCCGCTTCTTTCCTTTCGCTAAGAAAAACGATATTCAGTGTGTGCAAAAGCAATTGCCTCATTATGCTAATTTTCCTTTTATAAACGTCTTGTTTTATGTGTATGAAAATCCCTA